GAAGATCTACTTCTGAAAATCAGGCAATGGATCACAATAGTCCGATCTACAACCATTCGTGGGGATGGCGCAGGATCAGGCAGCATTTTGCTCTGTTGTGCATGGGGTTGCCATGAGTCAGGGGCCGACTCAAGGGCAGGTAATAACAACAAATGTTAATAATTCCAATAAAATCGAAATGCAACATATAAAATAATGTGTCCTGAAATGTAAGATAATTCACAATAATTACTGAGCCATAGAACTACCGTTGAAAGAATACGAGCAGTGATGTACTGGTAAATATTTAACAACCAAGTCTGGAGGTAGAGGCCTCAACTGTAGAATTTTCTAATTTCTATGGTGCAAATACTTTCCTGGATTTCAAGGTAATAACATGAGAACATGGATAACAAAATAGGAAAGAGATGCATAAATTGGCTCTCATGAGCCCATACAAGTTGACTCCAGAACATCACTGCAAATGAGAAACCAGATTACTGAACCCTTCCAATAAAACTGACCATCACTTTCTTTATAAGTCACCATACCCTATGTATGACATACCACATACATTATTACGTTTGTTTATTTACCTACTCAACTATTACAGTGGCTTTCAGTCTTTGGATATGAACCACAGCAAGAAACACATTTTACCTGATGACCCATTTGGTGAACATATATACGTGCAGTGTTTACATATACATATATAAACACATATAAAACTAAAACAGTAGCCTCATAAAATAAAACATCTTCTTGCTATGCAAATGTATTAAATTTTTTCTCTCTCATTTCATTTTTTAAATTTTTTTAAATTTTTTTATTGTACTTTAGATGAAGGTTTACAGAACAGTTTCTCATTAAACAGTTAGTACACATTGTTTTATGACAATGGTTAACAACTCCATGACATGTCAACACTGTTCCTTCTCGACTGTGGGTTCCCTATTAGCAGCCTTCCTGTCCCCTCCTGCCTTCTAGTCCTCGTCCCTGGACTGTTGTGCCCCATTAGCCTCGTTTTGTTTTACGGGGCTGTCTAATCTTTGGCTGAATGGTGAACCTCGGGAGTGACTTCATTACTGAGCTAAAAGGGGGTCCAGGGGCCATACTCTCGGGGTTTCTCCAGTCTCTGTCAGGCCAGTAAGTCTAGTCTTTTTTGGTGAGTTAGAATTTTGTTTTATGTTTTTCTCCAGCTCTGTCTGGGACCCCCTGTTGTGATCCCAGTCAGAGCAGTCAGTGGTGGTAGCCGGGCACCATCTAGTTGTACTGGACTCAGTGTGGTGGAGGCCACAGTAGTTGTGGTCCATTAGTACTTTGGACTAATTCATTTTTTTTAAATTTTTGATCCACTAAATTGGATTCATATATCACTATTTTGGTAGAGATCCATAGTTTGAAAAATGCTGCTATAATAGACTATAAACTCATTGAAAACAGGATTATATGTCATTTGTCTGTATCTATCCCTATGTCTAGTAGTAATTATGGAGGGCCAAGGAGGTTAAGTAACCTGCCCCAAAATGTACCTGCCATCAGTGATAAAAAATCCCTCAAGGCAAGTAATAATTCATGCCACAGAACCAGGATAGCCATGGCTTGATACTGAAAGCTAGATGATAATCTAAAACAGCCACCCTTCACCAAAAATTGAGAAACAACAACAACAAAAAAACCAAACCTGTTGCTGTCAAGTCGATTCCAACATATACCAACCCTACAGGACAGAGTAGAACTGCCCCACAGGGTTTCCACGGCGTGGTTGGTAGATTTCAACTGCTGACCTTTTAAAAAATTGGTACTGATGCCATGGTTGATGGAAGTTTGGCACTTTACCCATTGTGGCCCTGTGGCCCTGTTTGCTGAGGAAGATGGCTCTGAGCTATCACCATTTCCCTATTGTTGGTTATATTATATAACAATCTTCAATACTCTTTAGCTTTAGTTATACCCTATACAAGCATAAGTCAAAAAGTATTGTTACTAAGGTTCCAGTTAATACACGCATGGGTTTATTCCAAACAAAACATGTTTAAACCCATCTCTGCAGTCAGTGGATGGCTGCAGACAAGTTCTCTCAGTAATACATTTGTCTTAGTTTCATTTGGGTGCCTTCAAAAAAAAGGATACTTTTTGTGCCATGTAAAAAAACAATTTTGAGGTTATGGCTAATATCAAATTTTTAACAAAACTCAAGTGGACATCTTCCCAAATCACTGAAGCTTTGCAACAAGTTTGTGGGAATGCTGTTCCATGTAAAACAACAGTTTTTAGATGGATCAAGCATTTTAAGGAAGGTCGGGAAGACCTCAAAGATAAGCCAATAGAGGAAAGATCACTCAGAAGGTTATGGCAACTGGTTTTTGGGATTCCAAAGGGGTAATCTTAATAGATTTCCTCAGAGGACACAGGACGATCATGGGGGCTTATTATGAAGAAGCTTTAAGACAACTGAAAACTGCATTAGTGAGAAAAAGGCCAGGAAAGTTGCACTGAGGAATTTTTTTTTCCATCAGGACAATGTACCTGCTCATTCTGTGAGGGTAACAAGGGCCGTCCTAGGAGAATTTTGCTGGGAAACTTCACCTCATCCACTCTACAGCCCAGATCTTGCCCCTTCGGACTTTGTTTTCCCCAAAATCAAAGAACATTTAAAAGGAAAACAATTTGAGTCCTTCAAAGATGCCAAAACTGCCGTTTTGATGCAGTGTAAATCAAAGAGTGCAGAATTCTTTGGTGAAGGGTTAGATAGACAGAAACACTGCCTTCAGAAGTGTATAGACCTAGATGGATATGTCGAAAAATAATAGCTTCACATTTTGATATTTTTGTTTAATGAAGGTTTCTATGATTTTGTAGCAATACTTTTTGATTTATCCTCATATATAAATTAGCTACAAATTAATATTGGCAGCTTGAATCCACCAGTTGCTCCTTGGAAACCCTACAGGGCAGTTCTACTCTGTCCTATAGGGTCGATATGAGTTGGAATCGACTCAACAGCAATGAGTTTTGGTTATATTAACTTCTATATAGAATATACATCTAACACTAGTTTTCCAATAACCAGGCACCAAAGATTCAGTTTGAGAAAATACTCAGGAAAATAAAATCTGAATCCATGGCCTTTTCTTTTCAATGTGCTCCTGCACCACATGCTTTTTTATAGGTGCTATTAAATGTACACTATAGTTTCAAGACAATTCAGATAAGCATCTTCACTAAAATATACAACACCATTAATCATCTCAGTGACAGTGCTCCAATTTAACATCTTGGGGATTTCCTCCCCTTCTTCATCATTTATTTGCCAATATTTCCTTGTTATGAATATCCCCCTAGTGACTTTCCCTGGCAGTCACAGCTGTGCTGCCTACTGTGTCTACCTTGACTACAAATAACAGATTCCTAAAGAAGCAAGCCCTTGGGAAGATTCCTACAGTTAGAAGAGAAGCTTTCTAGGAGCCAAATTCCTGGTGGGTCCCTCCAGGATTGACAAACCTCAACCTCTAAGCAGGTGGTGATTTCGGACTCGTGAAACTGGCTTAACTACAAATGAACAGCAGTCTCCTACGCTGACTGTTGACTGCGTTACTTGAATGGTCAACAGTTCAACTGCTGTTTTAATATGGTCCTTCGAGGACCCCCTTCAAAAGCTTCTTCAAATTATCCATCATCACAAAATCACTAACAAATTACAAAAACCTAGCTAGCAAGAGCCACAGTAAGTATGACTGACAAATAACAAAAAAATCAAATAACAGAAATGAATTTGCTAACTACACCATTTCTGATGAAGAGAATAACACTAGGCAACCAAAAACCAAGCAATAAAACCAGAGATAAATAGGTGGCAAAGATACAGTGATACAGTCATCAGCTAAACCAGTCCAGGCAGAATAGTCCCAGCTCCATTCAGTATCCAATTTGTATACATTTCAGAGAACAGCCTTCGCAGGCTCCAGGATTTCCTGATCATTTGTAAATGTAAACCATGAAATAAAATGCTCTACAATCAGCAGAATGAAATTAAAACTCACCAGTTTATATTCAGAAAGGACTTCAAGGAAAAAGGGCACTTTTTTCCCAGTAACAAAACTGTACTACAAAAGAAGTTAAGAGTTTGAAGATAAAAACATACCAAAGTATATTTGCAAAGTATATCAAAAAAGGCCATTGCCTTTCGTGGAATTATGTTTAAGTTAATTTACATTTTCTATAGTGGAATTGTCAATGTTGCTTCAATCAATATTCCATAACTTATCTGGAAAGTATAAATTTCTATCCTTCTTTTTTTGGACTCCAATCTGGACTATTGTTTTTAAAAAAAATTCTTCTTAGCAAAAGCAACACAAGTTAAGTCACGATATATTAAAATGTCTTTTCCTCACAAGAGCAGTCTTTACTTCAGTGATAGTAACAACACCTCGTTACCAACAGGACAGATTCTGTTAAGTAAGGGACAAAGCAAATGGCAGCAAAAGCAGAGGAGTCAACTTCAATTTAACTGTCCTGTAAGGTACATAGTAATTAGCTGCAAAGCTCTGAAATCTTAGCTAGCATGTTAAGTCTGCTACATGACAGTATAATTTGACTTCTTAAAGGATTATGCAAATTACAACTCATCATTCCATTACAGGATTGAAAAAAAGTTGACAGCTAATTTATACATAACACACCTTTCAAATCCCTAAGATGCATAGCACCTGTGCAATGTATTTTGCTGAGATTTTCTTGCATGTAAGTATTTGTTTATTGCAGTATAAAGAAGCTTACCTAAGAGCTTTAATAAAGTCATTTAAAAAAAAAAAAAAAACAAAACTTTTAGACCACAATTTTAAAAGAATAAATTTTTTTTTTTTTTTGGTTGTTTTCATTTTGTTTTGTTTTGGTTTTTTTTTTTCCCCCACTAAATTAGAGAAAAATAAGGATTCAAGACAAGGATATTTTTGAATAGCTGGCAACCACAAGCACTGATGCACGAGCCAGAAGGAAGACTCACAAAGATTTCAACATAC